AGAAGAAGGTGAGATTTGCAGGGGCACCTGTGGCTGCTGATAAGAGAGGGAGAAAGAAAAAAAAGATCAGACAATGGAATCAAACTCTCTCGCCGTTCAGTTCAGTGTACGACTGGAGGGTGATAAATCAAATCGAAGAGGTGATAAGAGAGGAGGAGGCGATGTCACTCTTCGAATTAAGTACTTGAGGTCTAAAAGAAGAAAAAGGGGCAGAAAAGGTACCTCAGATCTAACTTTTTTGAGAAAAATTGAGAGGAGAGGATCAGCAACTGGTTCTGACCGGTGGAAGAGATGACAGCCGCAGCCGCGGCAGCCGCAGCAACCGCAACAGCAGCAGCGACTTCGTTCTTCGGGGTGACATCGTACTTGGAAACCGCCGTCAACGAAATTGAAGTTGAAGTTGAAGCTAAAGAGCTGAAGAGAGTGAGAGAGAGCGTACAGCACCGCCAATTCCAGCGAAACCAAAGAGTGATCGACTTTTCGTGGAAGCGAATGCTGCTGCTACAGTCAGTGCTGCTGTTGCTGCTGCTGCTATTTGCCTACTCGAGTGGAAGTGCAGGAAACGAAAACGAAGAAGACGAAGGCGAAGGCGAAGACGAAGTGAAAAAGCAAACGAAAGAAGTAGAAGAGCGCGAGAGCGCGCGCGTTTGGCTAATTTGGCAGCGACAGCGGAGGCACATACAGCGAGTTCTCCTCTCCTCTCTCTCTTCTGTCGCTGACAATAGAAGCGGCAGCTGGCCAGTGAAATTCCCGGAACTGTAACGAACCGCTGACGACAGTCTCTCTCTTTCTCCTTCTTCTTCTTCGTTCAGTCCTTCTCAGCAGTGCAAGAAGGGGACAGACTGAGAAGAAGGAGTAGGAGTTGGAGGAGGAGATGATGACCAGACCAGGGTTGCCAGGGCTCATAAAGAAGAAAAGAGGAGCTGTCAAAGAGCTTTATCGCCGTGGTGGTGGTAGTCCTCCGCTTCTTCCTCAGGCCTTCTTCAGAAAAAGAAAGAGAGTGTCAGGTAGTGAGCGTGTGAGCGCGTGAGTGTGTTTTGCCTTAGGAATCGATAGCTCTCCGCGTTTTCTGCACACTTTCCAGCTCTGTCGGCGCCACCGTCAACGCACGCCGTTTGCTTTGCTGCCAGCCTGTCCGCCGCTGCCGCCGCCGCTGCTGCCTTTCTTCTTTTCTCTCAGCTTTCCACACACTCACACTTGAGCTTTGGCTGCCGTTGAGCTCGCTCGAGGATCGAGCTTTCCTTCTTCACCACCACCACCACCACCGTCGTCGTCACACGTTTGTATCCTCAACACACCAACACCGTCACCAACATCATCATCAACAGATCGTGCCCCGACGTGGACATCGACGACAACAGCTACTACCTACTACCTACTCCCTCATCATCCCATCCCATCCCATCGCCAGCTTCGATCCTTCTTCTTCTTCAACAACAACAACAACTGGTGGTGGTGGTGGTGGAAGTTCGTGACCAAAAAGCTCTCCTCTTCTACTACCTCTTCGGTTTGGTGTTCCCCCCTCAGCAGCAGCTCTGACAGCAGCAGCTGCTTCGGTGCGCTTGGGCTTTGTTTATTATTACAGCACACAGTAGTAGCACCATCAGCAGCAGCATCATCATCAGCCTATCTTTGCACCAGCTCTTTCAGTATCCCCTCTCTCTCTCTCTCTGTCGTTGGTTGCACCAGCGAGGCGGCTGAAAAGAAAAGCAGCAAAAAGATCATCATCATCGTCATCGTCATCCAATCCCTGCCGCCGCCACCGTTGCCGCCGACTTTCTATCCTCATCTCAGCGAGTAACACACTCTCACTGTCGAACTGCACTAACTCCACTAACTCACTCATTCCTTCGTGTTTATCTCGTCCCCTCATCATCATCATTATCGGCCTGTTTACATTTTCTCGCCACTGCCGCTTATTACCAGTGGAAGTTACACTCACTCACACATCCGACTACCCCGACGACAAAACAAATCAGAGCTTTGGTGCAACAGTAGAAGCAACAGCAGCAGCAGCAGCAGCAGCCACTTCGACGACCTGCAGTTTTTTTGCGGGCACACACTTTCAGCTCTTTTGCCGCCTACTCAACTCTCTATAGAAGCTGCCGCCACAGCCGTTGCCTGCTCACTGTTTTCTTTTCAATTCCCCCCAATTCTCTTTCGAAAGAGGATCACTGTACACATCATTCATTCTTCCACTACTTTGTGTTGAGTCAGTCTCGCCGATCACAACAACAGCAGCAGCAAAATGGAGGCCGAGTTTCAGGACTACGAGCGAAATCGCAAGTGGAATGAGATTTTCAGCGTAAGTTTGTGTTCTACTTTGTAGGACTGGGTAATATCTTATCCGCCTGCTTATCTTACTGACATACTTTTCCTCTTCTTTATCTCTCCCTTTCCCGACCCTTTTTCTGATATCTTAATCGTCGAGCAGAACATCTACACGATGGGGGAGCGCCTGAGCACCCGAGAATCAGCGAAACCGGCTAACAAGCCGCTGAATCGCTACCTCGACGTTGTTCCATGTACGTCTGTTTGNACCCGAGAATCAGCGAAACCGGCTAACAAGCCGCTGAATCGCTACCTCGATGTAGTTCCATGTACGTCTGCCTGCCTGCATGCACACAACCTGTTTTCTCCCCTTCTAACCGACCATGTTAATTTANCGAAACCGGCTAACAAGCCGCTGAATCGCTACCTCGACGTTGTTCCATGTACGTCTGCCTGCCTGCATGCACAACCTGTTTTCTCCCCTTCTAACCGACCATGTTAATTTAATCTAATGTAACCTTAACCAACCACACCTGACAGATGACAAGACTCGTGTCACACTGGAGCGAAACAATCTCAACTACATCAACGCCAGCCATGTCAGCGTCCCCGCGGCCAATCGTAATTACATCCTCACACAGGTGCGAAAAGAGAAACAAAACAATGATTTCGAATATTTTTCTAATCACATTTTTATTCTCGTCAGGGCCCACTGCCCATCACCTCCGGCCACTTCTGGCTGATGATCTGGGAGCAGCGGACGAAGGCGATTCTGATGCTGAACAACCTGCTGGAGAGGGGGCAGGTGAAGTGCCACCAGTACTGGCCGGACGGGGCGGCGNGCCAATCGTAATTACATCCTCACACAGGTGCGAAAAGAGAAACAAAACAAATTGATTTCGAATATTTATCTAATCACATTTTCACAGGGCCCACTGCCCATCACCTCCGGCCACTTCTGGCTGATGATCTGGGAGCAGCGGACCAAGGCGATTCTGATGCTGAACAACCTGCTGGAGAGGGGGCAGGTGAAGTGCCACCAGTACTGGCCCGACGGGGCGGCGAACGGCGACGAGAATGAGCTTATCTTCGAGGACGTCAGCCTCAAGGTGGAGCTGGCGGCCACGGAGAAGTGCGACTACTACACCCTCAGAACGTTCAAGCTGACGGATCTGGTGGTAGGGGATTTACTATTATTTAGTTCATTTCTTAACATGGCCTGAAACCTTAACCAACTTCTTCTCTTTTACCATGTTACCAGTCTGACAGCTGCCGCGAGGTGCTGCACTTCCACTACACCCACTGGCCGGACTTTGACCTGCCGAAGAGCTCCGACTCCTTTCTGGAGTTTCTCTACGCCGTCCGCGCGTCGGGCTGCCTGAACAGCGCANCTTTCTGGAGTTTCTCTACGCCGTCAGAGCGTCGGGCTGCCTGAACAGCGCCGAGCACGGGCCGACGGTGATCCACTGCAGCGCCGGCATCGGCCGCTCCGGGACCTTTGTCCTCGTTGACTCCTGTCTCGTCATGGTAAGTTGTTGTGGTCGCCATTTAGAGCTTGTGAGCATATGTGTTAACAGCTAAATCTCTTTGGTTTTAGATTGAGCAGAACCAGTGCCGCGACTCGATCAACGTCATCGACGTGCTGCTGGAGATGCGCAAGTACCGCATGGGCCTCATTCAGACGGCCGGCCAGCTGCGCTTCTCCTTCCAGACCATCATCGAGGGCTCGAAGAAGATTCTCGGCAATGGCAAGGGCAGCCATTCGGCTGCTGCTGCCGCCATCGTCAACAGCAGCTCCAGCAGCAACAGCTGCAGACAGGCGGTCCTGAATAGTAGCAACAACAGTACAGGCAATGTCAATGCCGGTGCTGCAGACGTCAAAATGATTCAACGACTGAATGGCGTCATTGAGGCGGCGAAGCGGAAGAATGAGGAGGAGGAGGAAGACGATGAGGAAGAGGATGAGGTGGACTCTGATGAGCTCAACGAAGAGAATGATGAGCTTGAAGAGGAGGAAGAGGAGGAGGATGAGGCTGAAGAAGTAGAGGACGAGGACGATGATGATGACATCATCCTCGACGGTAGCACCGAACAGCCACCGCCGCCGCCGACAGAGAGCTCCGCCAATAATAAAACCTCGGCTTTGGAGAGCGCCGAGCTGCGGAAGGCGCAGCGCGAGGCGAAACGGCAGAAGACCCTGGAGACGATTCGCGCCATCAAGCGGAAGCAGAAGGCAGTGGAGGACAGGTTAGCCCTCACCTCGCGCCTGGTGAAGTGGCTGACGCCGGTGGCGGTGTGCGGCCTCGCCATCGGCCTCTACTACCTCTACCTGTCGAGGCGGACGGACGACTCGCTGCTGCGGGTCAACCTAGAGTGACCAGAGTGGCCTTGGTGATGGTGGTGGAGGGACTTGTGAACTCCATTTACCTCCCATTTTCACTCACCTCTCTTTCACCCTCTCTCCTCTTTCTTCCTTCACAGTCAGTCAGTCACACCCCTCTCGTTACTACCGTCTTCTATCACCACTATCACCACCACTATCACCACCATTACCACCACCATTACCACCACCATTACCACCACCATTACCACCACCATTACCACCACCATAACCACCGCAGCCATCAGCAGCAGCAGCGGCGGCGGCGACAGCAGCGGTTGTTGTGTACATCAGTTCGGCGCAATCCCCTCCCCTTCGATCCTTCTGTACAAACCTCGCTCTCTTTTTTAGTCCTTCGCAAGTATATCCTCCTCCTTCTTCCCCCCCCCAATGAATTGACTCGTTCATTACCCCACGACTTCTCTTCTATCATGGACATATTTATTATAAATTCCCATTTATTTTCCCATGTTTAGTAGTACTACTTTCTACTTCTTCTACTCTGCCCTTTTTGGTGGTCCCTCTAGAGTTTGCTAAGCTGCTGCTGCTGCTGCCAATCACGATGAGATTGGCTGTGCGCAAAAGCACTCCACAGCACAAGCTGTTGATTTTCTTTCCGATTTAGAAATAGAACAGAAAATGGCTACCGCTGCTGCTGCTGCTGCTGATGGTTATGGTTATGGTGATGATGGTGTTAATTGTGGTGGTGGTGGTGGTGGTGGTGGTGATGATTAGGGGAAAGGCTGTTGATTGACTCTAATGGAAAGAGCTGGAAGAGGAGAGGGGAGAGAGAAATTGGCATACCGCGATTGATCCGCACCGAGTCTAACACACAGCTCTCTCTCTCCCCATATCTAAATAACAGGTGCCACGAAAGTGCTGCCAAGCATCAGCGTTCCATCTGAGGAGAAGGAGGAGGAGGGAAATGAACTACAAGTACCAATTATCATCACAATTACCACTACCACTACCATCAGCAGCAGCAGTTATCATCACTTGTTGCCAAGTAGAGGAGAATCGTACATTAATATCCCGTCCCTATCAAAGTGTGTGATTCACAAGCAAACGAGCAAACAAACACAGTCCGTCCCCCAAATATGAATTCCATACTTTATTTTTGATATTTTTTATCGTAATTATCTTTATACAGGAAAAAAGTTTAGTTTTCTGTAGTATTTTAGCATTTTTTCATTTTCACCATCATCACTGATCTGACACACAAGCACAAGCCATCATTTCATATGATCATGAGGTCACCACCACCGACAGCATTTTTTAAGCGCTCTCCAGTCTCATTTCTGCATTTCAAAGAGAAGTTGTTGAGTAAAAAAGAGAAGATTGTTATTGTTCCCCGCGTACACCTAACCTTCCCTACTATTTTACTATTACTGCGAAAACTAACTAACTAACTAACTATTTATATTATCATAACTTTTTTATAAAAAGAAAGAAGAGGAAAAGATCGATTACGAAGCGTTGGCCCCGTCATTGCACTGTCGTTGTGGTGTTGGGAAGGCGGCTGAAGATAGATTAGCAACAAGTTAAAGAGTGACTGAAAGGGAGGGAGGAAATTTGGAGATCGATTGAGAGAGAGAAGGTGGCGGAGAACGATAACGAGGAAAAAAGGGAAGAGGTGTGTCGGAGGTGTGGTGGGAGGGAGGGTAAACGCATTTATATAACGGGTTAGGTGTAAAAGATAAACATCACCGTGCCACTTTTGCTTCGATTTTTTTGCCTATCAGAGCGCTGTGTTAGTTAATGGGCACCGGATCGGGAATGAGCGAGGTGAAGAGCGAACTGACAAAGACCCAGATCAGTCGCAGGCCAGTGTAGCGGGAGTTGTCGGGCAGAGCCCCCGCCGCGGCGCCGTTGTCCACCACATCTTCAGGTGATGCTTCCGCCGCCTCCTGGGCCGGGGGCGCTGGGTTTGCCGGGACATTGTTGTTGTTATTGTTGTTGTTGGCCTCTTCTGGTTGCACCGGTCCTCCACCATTATTGTTGTTATTTC